CTTTGGGAGTTCAAGGCCAGCCTGGTCTACATAGTGAGTTCCAGGACAGCTGGGACTACAAGGAGACCCTGTCTCAAAAAATAAAAAAATAAACTTGGGTTATAAACAGAGCTGCACTATAGAGAGAATCTGTATTTTTAAATATAATAAATTGGAGCATATGATATTGAAAAAAATATAAAACCATGTAGTTAAGATAAGCTTGGGTCTTAAGTTTTAAAAATTTACAATGGTAAAGTCTAACTAGATGGGACAAAAGGCTGTTGGCTATGTGCTTTCTGAGTTGTTTTGAAAACTATAACATTTATTTTAAAATGTCTTCGTCCCAGGCTCCCTATATCCTACAATTTAAGCCAAACCATTAAAAATATGACTGTTGGGATTGATTGTTCATTATTAAAACATTATGGAAAATAAAAGAGGAAGAACAGCAACAAAATTAAATTCAAAAATTTAAAATACTATATTCACTATTAAAATTAGCCTTCACTTAAAAACAAGTCTATTTTCCAGGTTGGATTACTAGAGATATTGCCTAATCTGGTTAAACAATTCTTATACTATTTTCAGAATCTGCAATGGAAAGAATTTAGTGGAAGTAGAAAAATTGCAGAGATCTTACTAGCATATTCTTTAGTATGGCTCCAAATGCCACACTGCATTCCAAGAAAAAGTTTCAAAAATCATCCAGCTAAGTGGAGTCCCTTCAACTCCTTTCTCTATAAAAGCATTCTATGCCAGCAGTCAATTCTTTGAAACACTTTGAAACTCTGACATTCTTGCTGACATCAATTTCTAAACTTACCAGAGGCCCATAAAAGAATGTAAGCAAGCCTTTGTTGTTAGACATTCTGGTTTATATTAATACATGGCACATATCATTAATGTGGCCCTGGATTTTTTACTGTTTTTATAGATTTTGCAACTGAGACAAGGATTAGTCACTGATCTACATCATTATTATATTCTCTAGAAGCATCTCCTATTTGGGAAATCATTAAATTATGGAGACTCCCAGGCTATTGTGTTTACTTGTAGCAAACAAATCTGTTTGCAGAGCATTGCTCTTCCCTTCCCTGCCTCCAGGTGCTTCTGTTCAGACAGAGCTTAGCTGGGTGAATGAAGGCTCTCTTTGTTCACATCCACTAGTTAGCAATATCTCATCATGCTGCTTCTCTGTCTCCACTGGTACTGCCTTACACAGTATCCACTTTTTCTAACTCACTTCTGTATCTCTAGTCTTGAACCTAATCACCTTCTATCCAAATCTAATCACATTGTTCCTTTATTTCACATCCCCTGCAATTCTCCTTTGCTTGAAAGTCAAAGTGCAAACTTTACTTGGGAAAATATTTTGTATTTTACTTCTTCTGTTTATATACTTATGTGCACACATTTGGTGTATGAAGGTCTCCTACAACTCATCCCCTCCTTCCTTTTCTATGTGAGAATTTGTGCTCCATGTTCTCATCATTTTATAATTTTTCTTCAATTAAGATGGTTTCATTTTTCTAAATCTGAAGTCAGGGTTCAGGATGTAGCTCAGTGGTAGAGCACTTGTCTAGCATGCATGAGTTCAACACCCAATGTTGAAAATAATAAGTGAATGAGCATAACCATCAACAAGCCCAATTGTCACTATCAGGCTCATTCATTAAAGGAGTGCCAAGCAGGGTCACTGGACCCTCACTTGAGTATCCAGCCACTCTTCCCAGCCAACTAGTCCAGCATTGGAAGACAAAAGAAAAATGAGGAAGAACCCAATAGAGGGATGCTTTTGGAAGCCCTTGTCAAGAAACTCCAATGGACTCTCATACGAACATTTGAAAATTGCCCTGTTCTGACTTTTTTCTAGTTCCCTGTCTAGAACTTGTAATGCTAATTACTCTTGCCTTTACTTTTCCATCACATCTCCAATTCATGATTCAAGGACTGTCTTCTCCCCTTAGAGACAAGAGTTATGCAATCTGGGAGTCTTTTAGATAGACCCACTGAGTCCCTGATCGGCATGGAAGAAGCCAGAGAGGTCGGCGTCCCTACTGGCAATTTGGGTAACCCCTTCAGAGGATGGTGTGATAAGAATAGGAGGTAGGAATTGGCTAGGTAGTTATAAAAAGACCCCAAAGAAATGTAGCTAGTTTCCTGGCTAAAAGTCAAAATGTCTGTGGGCCTGTTAGCAACATACTCTGTTCCAAAGGCCAAAAATGTCAAAAGTATTTGGGAGCTTCTATCTAATCCTTAAAAGATTTTAGGGTTACCTCTTCGGAGGGGAGAATGTTGGAGGGGAGGGAGTGGGCATGGATTTGATCAAAACACCTTATATACATGTATATACATGTATGAAATTCTCAATAAAGTTCTTGTAAAAGTTGGGGCTGGAGAGATGGCTCAGTGGTTAAGAGCACTGACTGCTCTTGCAGAGGACCCAGGTTCGATTCCCAGCACCCACTTGACGGCTATGAGCCATCCTTAACTCCAGTTCCAGGGGAATCCGATGCCCTCTTCTGACCTCTGTGACACTGCACGACATGGGTGCACTCATGTACATGCAGGCAATACACTCGTACACATAAAAAATAAAAATAATTTTAAAAATTAAAAAAAAATTTTTTAAAAGGCACACAAAGTCAGGCATGGTGGCCCATGTCTTTAATCCCAGCACTTGGGAGACAACAAGTGGATATTTGTGAGATCCGGGCCAGCCTGGTCTACATAGCAAGTTCCAGGCCAGCTGGGGCTACAGGGAGGTCCTGTATTAAAAAACAAAACAAAACAAAACAACAACAACAAAAAAAACCGAGCCAAACCCTACACAGCAAAAATCAAAATGAAACAAAACAGAATAACCTTGGTCAAGCCATTCTCCTGCAATGGACTGCTAATCCTCAGCCTCCCCAGCCAATCCGTTAGACTATCACTATTTGATGAGTAGCTTCAAGCATCATTCCTTCACTGCCTTCTTTTGCCATGGGACAGACTGACACCTCTCCACCAGAGCCTTTGCAACATTTCAATTTCTTAACATGTCCTTAGCTCTGTATTGTCCTATATAATCTATTGATTTTAGTGACTAATTATTTTCTATATCTTAATTTTAAGGCTGATAGGCTCACAGAATCCAACTAATGTCTGTAAGGTAAGAAAATGAAGAGATTAAATCAATTTTGATATAAGCAATGCTTTATGAAGTTATTTTGTTTTCTTTTTTGAGACAGGACCTCACTATATAACACCACACTCCCTTACCTCCAGGGGCTGACCTGAACTTGCTCTGTGGACTAGTATGGCCTTTAACTCAGAGATCTATCTGTCTCTGTCTCTTGAGAGCTGGGATTAAAAGTGTGCATAACCATGCCCAGCCCTTATGAAGTATTTTTACGTCTTCATTTGTGTGTGAGAAAACTGAGGTTCTAGGAGGATGAATGGTTTGCTCAAGGCCTTTTGACAATTCTTCAGCGCTTCATATAAAACTTAACATATGACCACTTTTTGCTATTTATCCAGAATGCTTTGGTATGAAAGAATCAAACTAACCAAAAAAGGAAATCCTTCTCCAAGTGGTTTCTTATTCACTGTGGGTGAAACTCCAACTCACAGAACACTGTGGAAACATCTCCAAAAACTTACCCATCCGGAAGTCAATGTAGCCTTCTCCTCCACTGATGACAAGCATAGACTTCAAGGGTGTCTGGCTGCTGGGCTCTTGTGCAGATGGTCCTGTTTTGTCACCTGTTAGATCTGTGCCACTACTGCCACTTTGTGGACTAATGACTTGACCTGTTTTATACAGAAAACAGAAGAGTGAATCACACACCACAGAAGCAGGCAGGGAATAATGATTTTTTTTCCTAAACCTTTCAAAGTTAAAAAAAAAAACAAAAACATGGTGGCTCACTCCTATAACTGCAGTTTGGGAGGGTGTGGCAGGAGAATTGCCATGAATTTGAGGCCAGCAAAAGCTACAGTGACCCTGACTCAAAAAATAAAGTTACATACATGAAAAGGTAAATATTTATACTAAAGACAACAACCAAAGTAGGAATGCTAGAAGGCTCTGCATGGTCAGAAAACCATTACATGAAGTTTCTAAGAGCCCAGTTTAAACATCTTGTAAAGCAATTTCATAATAAGCAGGAATAGATCCAGTCTATTCCTGTGAGATATGTGTATGGCAAGGTAAGTGTTAGTTGCCTGTTTTAAACTATTACAGTTCTATCTTTTGATCTGAGAAATAATGAAAGGTTTCCATCCTAAAAGGGGATCTTTGTATGTGAGACAGAAAAATCTTCACTTAAACCTAGGAATTTGCATATTCGTAGTATTTTAAATTTATTTCAAATCTATGTCCTTCCTTTCATAGTTGAGAAAAGTATATCTTATTTTTAGAGTATGTAAATAAAGTTACTGATAAATGTGCCATTTTTCTACACTTTAAATTCTAAAGTAGACTCTGAGTATGAAATAGTATAGAGAAACCTTTACATATTATTTACTACAAACAAATGAACAATCTCCAAGGCATCTCTCTTAGAGAGCTCTGACTGTTGGCTGGGAATGCAGCTCAGTAGCAGAGTGGTTGTCTAGCATACATGTGGGTCAGTGTTTTATCTCCAGAACTGTGGGCATTGAGGGAGGAAAGGATATATAAAGCTTTGACTGTGGGTTTTTTCCTTTCTAGAATCTGCTGTCCTTTGCTCAAATCACAGATACCATGCCTCCAGGACCTAGCAGGACAGGGTCATATGATGTGATACAACGTAAATTTAAAATTCATATTGAAAGTGGATATGACAGTTTGATGCATTCCCACAGGGCTTCATTAATGCATTAAGTATTCTCTAGAAGCTACCAAACCTGCTAGAAAGAACTTCTATTAGTAGAATCTGCAATAGAAGGGGCACTAATATAATAAAGCTAACCAGAATGGCTAATTGGCTTTACAACAAACAACAATGCTACCAATTACACATTTAGATTTATATCCAAAAGCAAAGTCTTGCACATATACAATAAGTTCCAACATGGGGATTAGGGCATAGGTGGTGGTAAGCGCTTGCTGCACAACTGAGAACTTGAGGTTAGATCCCCACATGAAAAACTGGGCATAGTGGACACTGTAATCTCAGTGCTGGGGGTGTACAGAGGCACAAAGACAGGTTATCCTTGGAGCTCAATAACCAGCCAGTCTGGTTAATCAATGAACTCTGGGTTCAATGAGAAATTCTATCTCAAAAAATAAGGTGGCGAGCAATCGAGAAAGGCATCTGCCATTGACCTCTGGCCTCCACATGCATATACTCTTGCACATGTGCACACATATACACTATACATAAATATATATACACAAAGAAAGTTCATCATGGGCCAGAGATAGTGGTGCATATCTGTAATCCCAACACTTGGGGAACTGTGGCAGGAGTATTGAGAGTACAAGGCCAACCTGAGCTGCATAGTGAGTTCCACACCAGCTTCTGCTACATAGAGACATGGTAGTGCTTTAGGCTGGCCTCAAACTTAGTATGCAGCCAAGAATGACTCTGAATCTCTTCTGATCTCCTGCCTCTACTTTCTGAGTGCTAGAATTGCTGGTATGCAATGCCATGCCTGGTTTAGGGCATGCTGGGGATCAAACCCAGGGCTCTATGCATGCTAGGTGAGCACTTAACCCACTGAGGTATAGCCTTCGCATCGTGGATTGTTTTTATTGTGAAAAAAACGGAGATTCTTACTGGTCCATCAACAGAAAAATGAATAAAACACAGTACATTTATCAGACAAGAGAAATATCACAGCTAAACAAGATTTTATATATGAACATGTTTCCTTGTTTTTTTGTTTTTTTTTTTTAAAGCAAGAGGGTGGAGACTGGAGAGATGGTTTGGCGGTTAAGAGCACTGCTACTTTTGCAGAAGACCCAGGTTCGAAACCTAGCACCTAGCTAACAACAGTCTGTAACTGTAGTTCCAGGGGATCTGACATCCTCTTCTGTCCTCCACAGGCACTGACGACACAGGTGCACTTACATGTATGCAGGCATAACACTCATATACATAAATATAGCAGAATACATGAGGTCTGGTGGCGGGGCATGGATGGGGAAGGGGGTCTAAATTTGTTTAAGAACTGTTGTATGAAATGTACAAAAGCTCAATAAAAATTTTTTTAAATGCAAGGTGGTTATTTTTATCAGGAAGTTGCCTTCTAGACCTTTATCCTAAGAAAGCAACCATATCAATATGTACAATGTAAAAGGAGATTTATTATGTTAAGAATAACCAAATAATTGGTTAGAGTACTGTTATGGTTAATCCTGTCAAATTGATGGGATTTACAATCACTGTGGAAACATGTCTCTGAGCAGGTCAGTGAGGGATTATCTAGATTAGGTTAATGAGGTAAGAAGGCCCACCTTAAATGAGGTGGCACTATACCATTAGCTGGTGAAGAAGATGAGCTGAGCACAAGGATTCAACTCTCTCAGCTTCCTGACTACAGATGCAATGTGACCAGGCGCCTCATGCTCCTGCCTTCAAGACTTCCTCACCAAAATGGACTGTACCCTTAAACTGTGAGCCAAAATAAGTCTTTCTTACCTGAAGTTGCTTTTGTCTGGGTGTTTTATCACAGCAACAGAGAAAACTAATGCAAATACCATATGCCAGCCAGTGTCCTAATGCACATTAACTTGTTGAATCTTTGTAACAATTTGGAAAAATAAGCGATGGCTAACTTTATGTGCTAGCTTACGTAGGCTATGGAACACAGATATTTGGTTAAATACTAGTCTATTTATTATTGTGAAAGTATTATCTAGATATGATTAACATTTAAATCAATAAACATTGAATAAAGCAGGTTGCCCTCCATAATGTGGGCAAGCCTTTATCTAATCAGTTGAAAAATACTGAGAGACCCCAGAAGAAGCAAAATGTTGTCTCCAGATTGCTTTTAGATTTTATCTGCAACATCAACCCTTCCCTGGGTTTCCACCTGTGGGACTGCTCTGAACATGAAGATTTGCCAGCCAGGTGAACCAATCTCTTTAAAAGTCTATTGGGCTGGGGAGATGGATCAATGGTTAAAAATACTTGCTGAGGAGCTGGAGAGTTGGCTCAGCAGTTAAGAGAGCACTGACTGCTCTTGCAGAGGACCGGGATTTGATTCCCAGCACCCACATGGCGACTATGAACTGTCCTTAACTCCAGTTCCAGGAGAATCTGAAGCCCTCTTCTGACCTCCATGGCATTGCACAACATGGGTGCACTCCCATACATGCAGCCAACACACTCATACACATAAATTAGAAAAAAAAAATACTCGCTGAGTAATCATGAGGACCAGAGTTAACATCTCAGAACTCGTGCAATAAGCCAGGGGTGCTGGATAGTTTCGGTTGTCAACTTGACACACTTAGGTAGAAGGAACCTCAACTGAGGAATTTCCTCCATTGAACTGGCCTCTGGCCATGTCTGTTGGGCATCTTCTTGATTGTTGAGTAGGCCCAGCTCATTGTGGGTGGTGCCACCTCTGAGCAGGTCCTGCATTGCATAAGAAAGCAGATTGAGCACAGGCCAGGGAAGTAAGCCAGTAAGCAGTGTATCCCTATGGTCTGAACTCCAGGTTCCTCACATGAGCTCTGGCCTTGTCTTCCCTTGATGAACTGTGAGCTGTAAGCCAAATAAACTCTTTCCTCCCCGAAGTTGGTTCTGGTCAGTGTTGTTTTCACAGTAAGAGAAAGCCAACTAAGACAGGGGTACCAGGAGTGGGGTGTTGCTGTGACCTGACCATGTGGGATTTTAGATGAAAGTGGAAGACTTTGGAAGTTTGAACTAAAAAAGCTGTTGAATGCTATAAGCAGAGGTTAATGGCCATTCTAGTAGGTATGTAGAAGAAAGTATTGCTGAGAACAATGTAGTGCCAGAGAAAAATAAGGACTTAAGCAGCAACTAGGATATTTTGGCAGAGTCTAGCTAGAGTCTGCCCAGAGCCTAAGAACTTGCCTGAGGCTAAGTTGAAAGGGTAATGGACTAATTTCTTTGGTGGAAGGAAATTTCAAGACAGCCTAATGTAGTGGTGTAGTTATTAATGGTGAATAGTATGGAGATCTACGATGAAAGAACAAGTGGGGCAGAAAGAGATACAGACTGTGGTTTGGATTGAAAAAGAGCACCAGGAAGGTTAATGTTGGAGCCAAGCCATATGCTGAGGGAGAGGCTCTATTTGATAAGGAGATCAGAGCAATTAAGGAGAGGCCTAGAGATTTGTACTTACAATAATGGAAAGAGTATGTTCAGGGCAGGACCACACCCAACTACTTTTCCAACCTGCAAAAGGAAAATGCAGGGATGGGGGTGGGGGTTGGGGGGAAGTGTTCCTGCTCCTAGAAAACCACAGAATAGAAAATCTACTAATGTGGATGAAGCAGGTCAGGGACCTTCCCAGACTGGCAGCCGAACTTGGGAGTTATCCACCTGGTACAAGCTTTAGAGGCATGAAAGATGCAAGAGTGAAGGAAGGAGTAATTGGTTCTTCCTCCATGGTTTCAGAGAGTCACAGAGGCCAGGCAGCGTGCAGCAAGGTCATCCCTGCATAAAGAAAACCCTGACAGGCCATTGCATGAAGCTGTGAAAGTGAAGCCTGGTTGGCAGTGGAGACCACAAGATGCTAAGAGATGCTAGAGCCATGAGACATCTGTCAAAAAGAGCTGCATACAGGCAGTTGTACCAGCTCAAGAGGGATAAGTATGTTGCATGCAGCCTTTGGATTCTGTATTTTGAATATTGTTGAAACTGTTAAAGACTATGGGGACTTTTGAGGTTTGAATAAATGCATTTTATATGGTCAAGAGCCTGTGGGGGCCAGAGAGTGGAATATGATGGTTTGAATGAGATTATTCCCCCATAGGTGCCAAGTACATTGACATTTTGTCCCCAGTTGGTGGCACTGTTTTTGGAGGGATTAGGAGGCAAGGCCTTGCTGGAGGAAGCATGTCATTGGGTCAAAGAAGGCTTTGAGAATTCTAAGCCTTGCCAGATTTTCAGTCGCTTTCTGCTTTGTGCTCTGGTCACCTCTGCTGCTATGCCTCCCCTCCATTATGGACTCTAATCCCTCTGAACTGAAAGCCAAATAAACTCTTCCTTCTAAGTCCAAATACTTGGAGCCTATGGGGGATATTCTCATTCAAACCATCACACCAGGAATCCCCTACTCACCTCCAACCTCATCTCCCAGAAGGGTAGAAACAGGATGATGACTGGGGATTGCTGGGCTTGCTACTTTCTAGTCCAGCTGAGAAAATGTGGTGCTTAGGTTCAGGGAGAGACCCTGCTTCAAAAGAATAGGTGGAGCGTATTGAGGAGGACACTTGATGCCCTCTTCTGGTCTATGTACATGTACAAAGGTACATAAACCTGCACTCATGTGGATATGTACTCACACAGAGACAAATTAAGTAATTGATTAAAAAAGCTATCTAACTCTCTTTCTACACACATACATGCACATATATTCACTCACACTATGCTCCTGCATTCTGGAGAATGGTGGTTAATACCCCAAATACTATGATCTCTACCACAGTTGACAAAACAAAGTCATATTTGAACCTTTATAAATTTCTAAACTTTCCTCTTGTGGAAAAAAAAACCCTCAAAACACAGGTCTTGTTTACAGAGGTCATTAACTACTTTAGTACTGTCAATGAACAGAACTTGAGGGGTGGGAGGAGACTGGATACTACTACTACTGCTACCATCTGGATAGCAGTTTATAGTATAACATGTATGCTTGCATGTATGTAAGTGCACCATGTGTGTGCAGTGCCTGCAGAGTTCAGAAGAGGGTGCCAGATCCCCCTGGAACTAGAGTCATAGATGGTCATGAGCTATCATCTGGGTACTGGGAATTGAACTCAAGTATCCATCACATTCATTTAGGAAAGAAGAAACAAGGGTCCTCCTTCCCTCCCTCCCCTGCTCCATACATTCATTAAGTAAATACTACTTTGGGCAGTATACTGTGGCAAATACTACCATGCTTTTTTTTTAACCTTTTTATTTTTTTTTTAAGATTTATTTTTGCTGGGAAAGGTGGCATATGCCTTTAATCCCAGCACTCTGAAGGTAGAAGCAAGCAGATCTCTATGAGATTGAGGCCAGTCTGGTCTACAGAGCAAGCTCTAGGGCAGTTGGATCTACAGGGAGACCCTGTCTCAAACAAAAGAAAACATTAAAAAAAATATTTATTTTTATTTTACGTGTATGAGTTTACTTACATTACATACATGTACACCATGTGTGTGCAGTGCCCACAGAGTTCAGAAGAGGGTGCCAGAGCCCCCTGGAGCTAGAGTTATAGATGGTCATGAGCTATCATCTGGGTACTGGGAAGTGAATTCAAGTACCTCTACATCAAGTGCTCTTTAAATGCTGAGTCATTGCTCTAGCCCCTACCACTGCTTTGCAAAAAAATCTGTTTAGGGGTAGAGGAGAGATTGCAAAATAACTACATTCCAGTACCCTACTGCACTTCAGTCATAACCTAAAGAACTTCTTTATGTACTGTATTGAAATGGTTTGTAATCCAGTAACTTAGCATTTGGAGAGATGGTGAAAGACAGATACAATCACATGGACACCTCAAAGAATAATCTAACTTACCTGGGACTGCAACAAAGAATTTCACAGCATCCCGGTGCCCATGGAAGCAAAGCTGTGCATGTGCCATTGAACAGTAGGGTATAAATGTCCCTGGAGTTACTTTATCGCTGTTTTCATCACCATATACACGGATCACACTTCCAGGACGATTACCTGGTGCTCCTGAGGTTTTATTTGCTGCAACAAAAAAATGAAATACCAAATATTTTCCTCTAGAAAATAGTAATGGTACAAGAGGTTACTGGTTAATCCTTATGATATTATCTAAAAGCTACAGCCAGTTGAGATAACATAAGGGCAGCAACACCAGTTCAAGGCAAAGCTGGAAAAAAGAGATATAGCATGCTAGTTATTTTTAAGTACCTCAGTAAATGGAGTAGGGGATTTTGCCAGTCTAGTAATAACCAAGCTTATGTTTTAAACACATCTATTAAAAAAATTTTTTTTGTCTTTTTGAGACAGGGTCTCCCTGTAGTCCCAGCTGACCTGAACTCACTGTGTAGATCAGGCTGGCCTTGAACTCACAGAGATCCGCCTGCCTCTGCCTCCTGAGTGCTGGGACTAAAGGCGTGCACCACTATGCCCGGCCATATCTATTAATCTTAATGAAATCATCATAGTAAATAAACTTGAATCATAGAAAACAGACTTGAATCTTGATTATATCTGTTTTATTTTTAAGTCCTTATTCAAGGAACTAAGCATTATGCAGTCTAAAGTAAATAAGTATATTCTTAAGGCTTTCTTTATAGTTCATCTTCTGATTTTTCTCCCATGATAAGAATCTGTCCCTTTAAAAGGGTAAGAAAGCTGTGCTTAAAAGAATCCAGGATCCACCAGAGTAGCCTTCATTTAAGCCAACTGATGGTTTGCTGGATTCCTGAAGAATGACCAGACTCACAAAACATCCCCATTCCATATGTAAGTGAATGAAAGAAATATGATCCATAACAAGAGTAAACAATGTAGATTAATGACAGTTTTAAGAGATGTTTCATGTTTTTATTGGAAGGAAAACAAAGTCTGAAAGAAAGTTTAGCTGCAACAAAAGATGACAAATAGACTAAGCTGCTGAGCAGTTGGTGGAGTAACAAACGTTTAAAGTTAAAAAAAAAAAAAAAATCTGCTGCAATGCAGTGACTGCCAGTGGGTAACACTGAAGAACATTCAAGAGGGTGTTCTAGAGAAGAGGGGACAGCCTCACAGTGGCTCTGAGAAGCTGGGAAGAAGAGTTTGGTTCAGGATCTGCACTTACCCCTCAGCCCCAGTAAGCGTCCCTGGTGGAGGATTACGGCTAAAGTGAAAAAGGAGGAAAGGGGACATGGAGAGGTGCACGACAGGGAGGAGAAGTGTTACTGTGAGCCACCACTCAGCCTCTTCTGCTTGGCCCCTACTGAATTAGGTCAATGGGCATAACATCAATAATATAAAATTCTTACCAAGGCCTCCGCTCAAAAAAGATAATTTGATTTGTTAGGATTTTATAAGGTTATTCCAGTGAAACTAAAACAAAACCCTAAGAACCTGAAGTAGAGTATATGCTAAAATTGCCCCCCTTTCTCTGTCTCCCCCAAAGAAGCCCTTTGTAATAATCAGGCTAAAATGCAACTCTCTTTTAAGAAGTGAAATGTAATCCAGGGATCTTGAAATCTTGTAGGTTTTAAGAAATGGTCTGAACTAAGAACAGACAAGTAGGGATTAAGAACATGGATTCCTTAAAGGCTCCAGATATACCTTTTGGTATTCTTCCCTTTTCTTCCACTGAACAAAAAAAAATTATTTTTTCTTTTGAAACAGGGTCTCTCTGTAGCCCCAGCTGGCCTGGAACTCACTATACAGATCAGGCTGGCCTCGTACTCATAAAGATTCACCTGCCTCTGCCTCCCAAGTGCTGGGATTAGAGGCGTGTGCCACCTTATCTGGCAAAGAAATTTATTAACTTGTTTTCTGTGTTTTCCCCCCAAACTATTCCCTGCCCATGCATTTTGCAGCACATAACACTTAATGGATGGTCAATGCAATGAAACACCACATGAGAAACATACAAGGTATGTTTTGTTCACAGAAGAAATAAACCACATTGCTTTCTGACAGCTTGTTTTCAGTACAGGGAAAGGCTCAGTGACATCCTGAAAACTTCTCGAACAACTTAAAAAAAATCTCAAATACAGCCGGGCGTGGTGGTGCACACCTTTAATCTCAGCACTCAGTAGGCAGAGGCAGGTGGATCTTTGTGAGTTCAAAGCCAGCCTGGTCTACACAGTGAGTTCCAGGCCAGCTAGAGCTACAGGGAGACCCCAAAAAAAAAAAAAAAATCTCAAATA